AGGCGCCAGATCACAGTAGTGCTGTGTCAAGATACCTGAAACGACAATGTGGCCATGAGCTCAAAGCAGAGTCTATCAATTAGCTCTGCGCGTTCTCATGCAGAGCTCTCCTGACCACGACTGCTTCCGTACTCGAGGAGTGCTCTCCCGCGACACCTTGGACCAAGCATGGCAGGGGACGCCACACGAGAGGTGGACAGGAAAGCCCGGGATGCTGCCAGGTTGCTGAGCATGCGAAGGAAACAACGAGAAAGGAGACTAGAGACTAGGGCGCGAGGCCCAGAGACAGGGCCTATCGAGGCCATGATCTGCGGAGGACTGCGCGAGGAGGCGGAAGCCATGCGGGAAGGCGGGGAGGCCTCGAGGGTCCAAGGACTCGAAGCCTCGCAAGTCAAGGCGAAAGCAGGTAGAGCCCGACCAGGTGGAGGGACAAGTCAAAGCTCAGGAGAGCGAGAAGAGCGAGAGCAGTGACGACGACAAGCTCTCGGTAGACATTGAGGAGGTGAGAGAGTGGTGCCACCAGCAGGTGCCTAGAGACCAGGGCACTACAGCATAGGTGACGACCTTTGATTGCCGCAGGTTGACGAGGAAGAGGAAAAAGCGCACGAGCGGGTCGTAGGAGCCAGCAGCACGACCAAAGCCATAGGGCTGAACGCCACCCTCGCGGGACTGAGGCTGAGTCGAGCGATCCATCTCTGCAGGGAGGAGCTGATGAGAGAGGCGCTGGAGCATGTGACACGATGAGGAACCAAGAAGCGACGCGAGGGACAAGGAGCTTGTCGGACGGATTGTCTGAGCGTAGAAGTCGCATCTATTTGGGCGCGGGGTGACGAGGCCTTGCTGGAGCTTGTATTCATGCATATGGGATATATGCTACCATAGGGCAAGCGTTGTGTAGATCCATCGGCTTCGGTATACTACAGTTGCGACGACCAGACGACGGGTGTAAGGATGACTTTGACACGTGACATGGACGCCTGCATGCGTTGCTTGCGATGATTGCGGGGACGGGAAGCGCTTTGTACTAGCGAGAAGTGCAAGGCGACGGGCTGGCTGAAGGGAGAGGAGCAAACGGCGGCAGAGGGGCAGGTAGACCAAAGACAGCTTCTTGTCGAGAGATGACTCATGGAACCAAGCGCCGCCAATGCTGCCAGGAGACATCATCATTCAAACACATATACACATATACCTTGCCTTCTATTACACATTATACCTTCCATGGAGTGGCCTATTCAAGGGCTCGTTCCTCGATTTCAAGGCAGGCAAGGGAGATCGGTCGAGCGCATTTGGGTCCCCCAATGAACACACATCGTCAGCTGTGCCATGCTCATAGGGCATGCTTGGCAACCATCAGTATGACAGATGAAGAGAACACGCGGTTGCGTAGCTATCTGCCGCCCACGCGAGTACGGCCCGGCAAGTATCAAATCACTCCAGGCGCAGGCAAGAAGGCGAGACTGGCCTGACTAGGCAGAAGCATCCGTGTGATATCGCTGATCCGCTCAGGGCACAGTCAGGGCGCTTGCGTTATGCGTCCAGATGATCGAGGTCGATCCGACAGGAGTTGCAGCAGGAAACGCTTGGCGTAAGTCGGTCTGGGATGCTTGTTTTTGCGTGGTGACATGGCAGACGTTTGCCGTGACAGACGCTGCATATGGTCAGGTGAGCGTATAGAGTAATACTCCTGCAGGCTTCAGGCGCCTCACGCTCCTTCGACCTACTCGCTTACACCCTGCACAAGCGCTGGCAGCTTCTGTTTGCGTTTGACGCTGTACGGAGCCTTGCCGGTCGTGAGTGCTTCATGTATCCACGAGCAGCACGGAGGCTGATGGCGATGAGAGGAGGCTTGGAGGTCGAGGGGAAGGGGCCGTCCCTCTCCGTCTCCCGCATCCTCATCTGAAGATAACGTGTTGCCAGTTCCAAATGAGACAAGATCATGACCACCTGCATACGTTCTCGGGCGTCAAGAGATTTAGAATACACCCCATTTTCCATCGGAAGTTTCTTTCCTTTTTCACGACACCCATAATCAGGTTTCGCATTGTTTTTTCAAGGTTTTAATCGTTATGCTTACATGAATTAGAGCAGGACCAGAATCCAAGAGACGTTTCAAACATGTCAAACTGTCGTGTTGATGAGGATGGGCAGACAGCAGATACTCGCCCATGGTAAATCCAGCCCCCATAACCCTACCCTTGGAAAAGTCGACCCCCGACCACCCTACCCCTCAGGTTTTTTTTTAGGTCCCATCAAACCACCCCTCATGTGCGTGTAGTGTATGTTCCCTTGCTTAGCGTGCATGCGTAGCTTCGAGTGGTTGGTGTAGCGGTTTGAGCAGCCTCTTGTTCTGTTCCTATCTCATTAGATCAGGTAAAATAACAATCTATCACATTATTTGCTGGGCATCGAAAGTGTTGCTCGAAACAGCAACCTGCGACCATCACAACATGACCTGCTGAGGGATGTGGCAACGTACGTCTGCGCCAAGAGAAATCCAAATCTACCGTCTAGCAAACCAATGAGATCATCAAAAATTCTACAACCTTTTTGACCTCACTCTAGAAGGAGGTAAATTCTGACATGAGCTCCGTGAGATCTCAGCAGCATTGAACAATTCATTCATTCGTCACAAGATATGGATGTTTGAATCGATGATTCTACCCACACGATAGTTATAACGTTTCGATGCAATGAAAGAAAAGAAATCGGCAGAGCCGTATACCATGATGAGTATTGCATGAACAGTTAGATAGTCAATCCCCCAAATGTACTTTGCTACCATGTGATCCGTAAGGTGACAGCTGTTGTAGGGATGAGTCGTCGTGAAGTCCAGCACCAGCCTTGGAAGATGACACGCAGGTGCGTAGCTATCTGCAGCCCACGCGTCAAGGCGCTTGCGATATGCGCCGAGAAGATCGAGGGCAACCCGACAGGAGCGGCAGCAGGAAACCAAGATGCTCTTTTGGCAATGGATCTGCTTCGAGTTCTACCACAAATCCACAACCTTGTTGCTCATTAGAATTTGATACTTTGTTGATACTTTTTAGAATCTGTCATATTTATTTCAATTTGAGTCTGATCCAAAGTTTTGGTCCTTTTCTGGAAGTGACTGCTTTGAAGATTTTCAGACATGTTATGTTCTCATACAACTGTCTTATCCTTTAGAATGATCTGAGGATACAGAATAAGTTTTTCACAATTCTAGTTGCCGTCATACCACAACCGGTGTAACAGCCAGAGCCTTGCAGACATCCTTTGACCTGTCAAAATTCTTATTCGTTTGCTTAAAATTGGCTCACTGTCAAGAATCAAATCATACATATTCCATGTAGAAGGATGAAACGGCCATCGTCCATCAGTCGGTTCTTTGAGAGGTTGTAACCTGACTGGTAGAGCAGGAGCAACATCAATCCGATTTGATCCAGAAACATCACTTCTTGGTTGGAAAATTGCCTGGACATGACATTTTACAAGAATGTTACAGTCCTCAGATGACATTCCTTTGTTTGCTTCGACTTCAAGGCAATGTGCTTGTTTAACTTGGCTCTGTATCGCAGCCATGCCCGATTATTGCGTTCTCTAGATCAATATCAATCCGCAAGGATATAAGAATAGACATCCCACTCGATTTGTAGAATACTTGGATCTGGGATTGAGAGAGCGCGTTTTTTTATGTTGATTGCAGTGTCTTGGTCGATGATCTATATACTATGAAGGAAACCAATCATTTAAATGCAAACATTCACCGGGTCATTGTTATATATATTTGTTGATGCATCAACAAAAGCGATATCCATGTTGCACATAGCTGTAGCTGTGCAACCCGTTGGCTTTCGATCAAGAACTGACTCTGGGTCTATGCAAGCTCCACGATATCTAAGCACCGACGTCAAAGGAGAATACAAACACCGTGTCAAATACAAAATGCCAATTTCAACTTCATATTCGATACTAAGCTCGTCATCATTGAGATGTCGATGAGGCCGAAACGGAGTGGGAAGTTTACGTGCTTGCTTTTCAGCCTTTTGTGTTGTTATTCGACACAGCAAGTGCAACACAGTTTTGCACCTGATCATCGATAATTCGCTTAGTAATCTTGCAATGACCCGTCATAATGTATATCAGGTTTGAATTGGAAACTCCTTCATCTATGATTCTCTAGAATGCACAAGTAACGTCAGAACATTCTTTTTCAGCATCAACGGATTACCTCGCCCATCTTATATCGCTTCAATTGCATGTTTCCGACTAAGATATTTTTGGTTCGCTCATTCCAGTTGTCAAAATCTCGTATTTCATTGACAAACGTTTCTAATCTTGATCGTTCCCTCAGGTGTATAGGTTTCAAATATCGATCATATTCTGATTTGTTTACTCTAAGAAGCTTGGAGGTGACATCTGCATACACAGATGCTGTCCGAATTGAGTTATTTTGGAGCAAGGCAACGTCTCCAAAGCCTTCTTGTGACAAAATATCTTTGATGTAGCCGCGGTCGTTTCGAAACACTTTCAGAGTGCCATCGAGAACTAGATACCAAGCATCTCCAACATCACCTTCCCTCACAACACACTCTCCGGGCTGAGCAATTTGAAGCATTGCAAATCGTGCGATATCTGCTTGTCCTTCGATAGAAACATGGACTTTGGAAACTGCGTCGATTTTCTTAATTTCTCTCCGAACAATATCTATTTCATCCGCTCTACGCTGCCAAGGAGATTTCTTCAATATTTCTTCTATCTTTCCAATATTTACCAGTATACTCTCTACATTTTTGGGCCTACGGAGAATGAGCTCTTCTGATTCTCCTTCTTTTCCTTCATGCTTTGATTTGTACATGGACATGACTCTTTGGAGCTCTTTCCTCCCAACCCCAAACTCTGGGAGTACCTCAATCTCCACTGGTGCATTGCGCACCCATATCTGTGTTCTCTGCTTCGTCTTCATTCAGTCGTTGCGAAACAACTCGCCATCTTGCACGGCATCAAACAAATGTCGGCGCGCCCTCCAATCAGCTATCGCGAAGGTCCAACCAACCGCAGATCGGTCGTTGCGCCATGCACGCCGGCCCGGCGCAGACCGACTCTCGTCGAACGCCGGGCCCGCCGCCGTAGTGACGTTAAACTGTCTGTAATAATATCTGCAATCAGTGTGTTACAAGTTCAACGAATTTCAATTCCATAACTTTAACCGGCGCAATGCCGGGGCAACCGCCGGCGCCGGCAAAGTGTTTTGAATAATTCTACCTAATCTCTTAATTATGGTCAGTGTGAGGGGTCATGTATAGATAATTCAAGGGTTTAGGGTTTAGGAGGAGGCCGGGCCGGGCTCTCGGGCCCGGTCCGGACAGAGGCCCGGGGGAAGGGACGTGAGTCCCAGAGACCCATCCACTTGAACCCACCTGCCACCTCATCCATCATCCACTCACTGGCCGAAGGCCGGCCGAGACCGCCAAGGTGTGTCGGAGCCGAGGAAGCAACACAAGTAAAGCGCGGACGACCCAGGCCAAGGCCGGCGGAGGAAACTCCACTGGCGGAGGCCTGGGAAGACCACGAAGTATATCAGAGGAGGGAGAAGAGCAGAACTTACTGAGCACGGTCACGAGATCCCTGTTATGTTAGACTAGAATAGAGCAAGATGATAACAAGCCATGCAACCTTCCTAGCATTCTGATAAACTCAACTACTACTACTACTAGGGTTTAAGGTTTATGGTTTAGGGTTTATGGTTTAGAGGCGCCGTTATTTTCGGCAGCATGGCTCCTCGCCAGGTGTAGGGGAAGCCGCCAGGGCGCCAAGGAAGCTGCAAGCGAGAGGTTTGTATACTTCAAACAGCTTTCTAAATATGGTTCTTCAGTATGATGAAAGTGTTCGCAACATGCTGTATCCGAGAGATCATGCCAATACCGGCGGCAGGGCGAGCTTGTGGATGCCGCGGTCCTCGAAGCTGATCTTGTCGAGAGGGTGAAAACATGTCAGCAGGCACGACGGGAGCTTCTACAAGAAGCGATGACTGGATGGAGTGACGCATCCAGAGAGGTCAACCATGAAGAGAAGCTGAAGAAGAAATTTGAAGAGATCGGACTGATCGTAGACTCAGTGCAAGAGAGTAAAGCGATCATGTGGAAGGCTCCGTATAGATCCGAGATAGCGAGTGCTGATGAGATCCCGGTGACTGTTTCCTTCCTCCGCAATGCACAAGCGGAGAAGCTCTGGCAGGGAAGAGAGGACTTCGCGATCGATGGTCGCAAGTTCACAGCTGTACATGCGAGCATCGTGCACGATCGATCTTTCAAGATTCGAGCCAAGAGAGGACCCTGGGGCAAAGGGGGCAGCTTGGCAGAGCTGACTCACCTGCTAACCTTGGGCGGCATGACAACAGCCGAAATTGCTGACGTCTACCGCTATCAGCTGCTGCGCCAGTCCCTTGCAGCGGTCCAACTCCAGCCGCTGGCAGGCATGCTGGTCGCTGGGGCGCCAGGCCAGCAAGTCCACAAAGGCTTAGGTCAGAAAGGCTTCGTCGCTGTAGGGGCCCAAGTCATCTGGAGACAGAGGGAGGTGGAGTGGATCGTGTCCTCGAGCTGCCCAGAGGCGAATGATACAGCATTTCGAGCTTTCCGAGAGAGCGAAGCGATGGAGGGAGTACACCTGACTCTGTTCAGCGAGGACCCGAAGATCAGAGAGGCGCTCGCAGTCGAGTTGACAGCCGATCGCTTTGTCTCTAGGAATAAGTTGAAGAAGGCATCAATCAAGACTGCAGAAGAAGGCAGGCGGCAAGGACGACAAGGCGATCAAGATCCGATCATCAGGTCGACGGCGGCATCTGGTCGCTTCACGAGGAAGGAGATGGAGGGGCTGTGCAACGGCGGCAACACGTCCATCGCAAGAGTCAAGAGAGTCTTGTTGGAGATCGCTAACAGGCTCGAGATCAAAGTGGAAGGCATCGACATGGAGGAGGATTTGAACACCAAGTCCTGGAACGGGTCCAAGCTATGCATCCTCCTCGGCTCCACGGAGGATGCTCGACGCATGATGAAGGAGCTGCCCTTCTCTCTAGAAGGCGCAGCAACCAAGCTCGAAGCAGTCGGCTTCGACATGCTGTGGACCTCAAGGAGACGAGGAGACACGACTAACAGAGAACAAGCATGAAGGATATAAGATGGTTGGAAGATGACTGGGTAAAGATCAACGAGGAAGGATCAAAAGGGAAGCCTCAAAAGCAAGCAACCAGGATCAGCATGGCAGGGAAGGGGCAAGGACACAGAAGACAGATGGAAGACGACAGGGCAACGGTCAACGAGGACAGACCGAAGGGGAAGCCTCACAGGCGAAAAACAACCAACATGGCAAGGAAGGGGCAAGGACACAGGAGACAGATGGATGACGACAGGGGAAAGGGCAACGAGGACAGACCGATGGGGAAGCTTCACAAGCGGTAGGCAGGGAAGGGACATGGACTTAGCGCAAAAAATAGAAAGGTGGACGGTTACACTGAAACCGTCAACCCGGGCCCGGAGGAGATACGGCACCGGCGGCTCGGAACGGAGGACTATGGAAACAACAGAAACAGCGGAACAGCGATAGAACTCTGGATGCCACAACGGGCCATCCAAGAAGGGCCGCTCTGCCAAGCGTGAGAACCCATTTAGACTAGACTAGACCGGGAAGGTACCCGATGCGACTATTCTAGCATTCCAATAAAATCGACTACTACTACTACTAGGGTTTAGGGTTTAGGGTTTAGGGTTTTAGGGTTTAGGGTTTAGGGTTTAGGGTTTAGGGTTTAGGGTTTAGGGTTTAGGGTTTAGGGTTTAGGGTTTAGGGTTTAGGGTTTAGGGTTTAGGGTTTAGGGTTTAGGGTTTAGGGTTTAGGGTTTAGGGTTTAGGGTTTAGGGTTTAGGGTTTAGGGTTTAGGGTTTAGGGTTTAGGGTTTAGGGTTTAGGGTTTAGGGTTTAGGGTTTAGGGTTTAGGGTTTAGGGTTTAGGGTTTAGGGTTTAGGGTTTAGGGTTTAGGGTTTAGGGTTTAGGGTTTAGGGTTTAGGGTTTAGGGTTTAGGGTTTAGGGTTTAGGGTTTAGGGTTTAGGGTTTAGGGTTTAGGGTTTAGGGTTTAGGGTTTAGGGTTTAGGGTTTAGGGTTTAGGGTTTAGGGTTTAGGGTTTAGGGTTTAGGGTTTAGGGTTTAGGGTTTAGGGTTTAGGGTTTAGGGTTTAGGGTTTAGGGTTTAGGGTTTAGGGTTATTTTCGGCAGCATGGCTCCTCGCCAGGTGTAGGGGAAGCCGCCAGGGCGCCAAGGAAGCTGCAAGCGAGAGGTTTGTATACTTCAAACAGCTTTCTAAATATGGTTCTTCAG